TAAATAAAGTAACACTTAAGGTATGATAGGATGACATAGGAAATGTGAATAGCCTAGGGCAGAAGGAGAGATACCATAACTATTTAGCACACGTTTGGTCAAAGGATGGGCTTCACTGGTCTCATTGACGAGTTCTAATATGGTGCTACGAATGGCGAGACTCACTGACAGCGCCAACTACGATGCCGGTAAAATGTCTGGGAATGTACCACGTCTAAGGTCCTACTCTGGAAATAATGATGCTGACAATGGACTCTGGACAGGGTGCGATCCTTTAAGTCTTCCTACCAATATGACCGAGTTGCGAAAACAAGGTCAAACAACTTCTATTTAGCTCTTATTGCCTTTTATGACAATAAAAACATATAATTTGATTATAAAATCTATTAGCTTATACGTATTTAGATTTTTTAAGTTCATAATAGTAAAAGAATTTTACCCCCAAAATAGGATCCGTCTGACAGGCTTGTTGCTACTTCTCCATCTTTCGTAATGATATCAACGATTCCTTCTTGAATGAAGTACATTTTTGTACCAATAGTGCCTTCCTTGATTACTAAATCTCCAGGTTGAAAAACCTCATATCTCAATTTAACCACTACTTCTGATACAAAATCTTGATCTGCATATGTAAAAAATGGAACTGCTGCTACTAATGCTCTGCAATTATAATTGACAATTTGCTGAAAGAAAAAAAGATATTTATCTTTGTATTTTGAATATAACACTATATATATATATATACGTATATAAAGTATGTAATTTAGGCGCAAATCCCATACAGGAACGGAACAAGTTTAAAAAAACTTATAGAATAATATTTAAAGCTTAATTTATATAAAAACTTTAACTATTTGATAAAATTTCCAAATTATAGGCATTCTTTTCAGAATAAAGCTTAATAATATAGAAATAACCTAATTAGTCATTAAATACGCTACAAATCAGATGGATAAACTTACGTTTGTTATTAATCTTAAAATGTCTCACAAGTTATTGCTTTCACACAATAATAATACTACAATTTATTAATTACTGCATATTTCCATTATTCCAAGATACTTTAAAACAATTTTACCTATCAAACCAAAGGTGTAATTCCTTGAAGTCTTGTAGTTATTCTAAAGTACTGTAATTGATGCATTGTACTTGTGATGACTAAGGATGTAAGAGTGAAGAGAATAAACTCTGCCAAAATTGATTCTCAAATGACTGATTTAACCTTAATGTTAATTTAGATTTTGATAAATTTATTCAGTGTCAAACTGTATATATTCTTTTTTTTAAACGAGTACGAAGTAAAAGTGAAAATTAAAAATATTTAAAGAGAAATAATTTGAAAAGTAATTACCTCTCTTAAGCACTCTGAAAGCTCATTCAAAATAGCATTTTCGTTGAACATTTTACCTTGATACCTGTGCTCATAATAATTTGTTATACGTTGCCTCAAGGCTCTTGGAAGCTTCCTGTATACCATATATTCTTCAACTTGCTTAAACTACAAATTAATTTTACAAAATAGGAATTAATATATATATATATATATTTGATGGTCTCTTTAATTATTTGTAAGCATACAAGATAAAGATCTTTTTATAAAATCTTT